TGTGGGATCTGAACCCTCGGCGGGAGCGCCGCTGCTCTTCCCAAGTGGCGCACTGTAGCAGTGCGCCACCGGGCCGGCCCTCAATTTCTTGTACTGCATCTTGCCCAGCATTTTAATGTTAGCATTATTATATTCTCACCACCTATGTGATTTTTTCTTTTCTGGAATAAGTTCTCTTACTAAATAATTTGCTTCCTAAACTTTTTCACCAAAGATGATTTTTGAACAAAACTTTTACTCTGTTTTGATATTCTAAACCTCTAAATCAGAAGATTGAAATTCTTCATCACTAACCTTATCAGAGATGTCTGCAGCTCAATGCCTAGAATGGTCCTTTTCTATCTCATACCTTGCCTTCAAAACTTGCAGCACTGAACTGTCAGACTTGTTTGTAACACACACATTAATAAAATACAAAAACAGACATAATAACCAAACAAGAAAATCACAAAATGTACAAAAGTTTCATAAAACAATTCACTTCTAACCTACACAATTCATATTTTTGCAATGTTTACAACAAAGTGGCAAGGGACAGCTGAATTGTGGCATGTAAAAATTCCTTCCTTAGAACAAGAACTTCCTTCTGATTCTCTACTGCACAGAGCTTTTTCACTCCCAGGGAATAAGGGGAGGCTGGGGAAGGTGATTATGGGGGAGCCCAACGTCAGCCTCCTCCCACCCTCCCCTCAGTGCAAGCGCTTGTGGGCCTCTGCACACTTTCATACAGGGCTGAAAGATCGCTAACAAAATTGTTAACAGGGCTGTGCAATCATTGTTCACCACTGCAAGAACAGCATTATGCAGCACCCAAAGTATTTGCAGTCACAATTTTACATGGAACCCCAGCAACATCTCTCAGAGCCCCAGATGAGAAACCCACCTCCAACACCAAATGAGAGGTCACCTTCGTTTGACTTGGATCCTTCTGTGACTTGACTTGCAAGGTCAGGTTCAGCTCCTCTCTCATTCACCTTCTGCATCTCAGACATCTGTTTTGTCTGCCCCAGCTCCTCACTATTCCCTGGTACCACTTGCTGGTTTTTTCCTTCTGCTGGGTCGTTTTGATTTAATTTGTCAGCAGATTCCAGTTTAGCTTCTTTCCCATTTCCCTGCTTTGGGTTAAGCTGTGACAGGTCTTTGGCCCTCTTCCCAACCTCCTGAAGACTATATTTTCTGAACAACATGTAATCTTTCACAACACTCAGGCAACAGCCAGCTTTGTTGATTTCTACGACCACTGTGTGCTGTGCATTAGTGAGATCCACTTCATTTTCTGAATTGAAGCTGCCCACTAATCCTGCTGATTCTTTGATAACTTCTGCCCTGTTCATGTGACTGTTATTTGGAGATTTATATACAATCTGAAATGTTCCTTTGTCTGGGGCTTTAAACCAGGGTTCCAAAAATGTTTCTGCATATTTTTTCATATCTTTTAAGAAAGCTCTGCATGTGTCTGAAATGAGTAACTGGTAGATAACCCGCGTCGCCTTCTTGGTTTTGCACATATCCTGGAGAGTATGATGCACTAACTTCTCACGTTCTATCCCAAGTGTCCTGACTTGCTTCCCTCTCCACTGATGGGAATCCTCTTAGTCTCTCCTCTGTCGATGCCTTCATGTCATGGAATTTTTTCTCCAAAGCAACCTCCACATCATTGTTTTCTCCCTCATTTCCACGGGGCTGCTGATCCTTGTCTGTATGTGTCCATTTCTGTTGCTTATAACAAAATATTTGGAACTAGGTATAAAGAAAATGAAATTTATTACTTACAGTTTCTGAGGCTGGGAAGTCCAAAGTCCAGGGAGCACATCTGGTGAAAACCTTGGTGGTAACAGTACCCCAGGGGTCTCACATGGCAGAAGATGGCAGAGCAGAGAGTGCCTCATGCACTGTCCTTTTAAAGCCCTCAGCACCATGCCCCTGACCACCATTTTTCATCCATTCACTGGGCATGGTCCTCAGAATCTAATCACCTCTTCTAGGCCCCATCTTCCAATTACCATAACAGGATTTCCCACCCTCCTAACACTGTCACAGTGGGGACTAAATTTTGGGAGGACATTCAACCTAAGGCATTATCTGTAAACTTCTGTAACCCATACAAGTGGTCGCTGTGTTCACTGAGAGCCTGTAGGCCTCCTGCACTCGCGTTCATAGTGCAGGTGATGAGGATACCCTGGAGCCTGCTCCAGCTGCCTGGGGGGACCACCATGGTGCCTGCAAGCTGAGACCAACGAGAAACGTGTTTCTCCATAATGGCTCTATACATGTTCTAAAAATATTTAGCTATTGAAAAGCATTCTGTTCCACTTCTAGGCAGTTCTCAGCTTATGCAGTTGATCTAGGTGTGAGAAGCCTCTTGCGGCTACTGGGATCTTGCCTTTTTCCTCTTGTATTTCCCCAACTGCAGCCTGTATGATAGTCTGTCTTTTGCTACCCTGGATCACTTCTGTTCTTCGTGTTGTTTAATTATTTTAGGTATTGTATTAATTTCCTATTGCAGCTATAGCAAATTACCGAAAACTTAGTGGCTTAAAAAAAAAAAAAAAAAAAACACCTCACGAATTTATCTGCCCACAGTTCTGAAGGTCAGAAGTTCAAAATGGGTTTCACTGGGCCAAAATCAAGGTGTTGGCAGGATCGCACTCCCTCTGGATGTTCTAGGGAGACACCGTTACTCTACCTTTGGCTCATGGCCAGTTCCTCCATCTTCAAAGCCAGCAGCATAGCACCTTCAAATTTCCCTCTTTATCTAGCCTCTGCTTCTGTCCTTATATCCTCTCTCTCTTAAAGGACCCTTGTGATTATCTTGGGGCCACCTGAAAAATCCAGGATAATCTCCCCATCTCTAGATTCTCAATTTAATCATACTCCTAAAGTCCCTTTGGCCATATAAGGAAACATATTCATACTTTCTAGGAATCAGGACATTGGGGCCACCTGAAAAATCCAGGATAATCTCCCCATCTCTAGATTCTCAATTTAATCATACCCCTAAAGTCCCTTTGGCCATATAAGGAAACATATTCATACTTTCTAGGAATCAGGACATTGACATGTTTGTCATGTTTGGGGAGCCTACCCCAGGTATGATTATAGTTTCATAGTTATGTTTTAAAAATATTCCTTGACTCTTAGAGACATACTGAAATATTTACAGATGGAATGATGTAATGTTTAAGGTTTGCCTCAAAATAATCCATCCCAGTTTGGGGGCACCGGATGGGTGGAGATGGCACAAGACTGGCCATGGGTTAGTCGTTTTTGAAGTTGGGTAATGGCTACTTGGTGATTATTCTACTAGTCTCTTTGCTTTTGTGTATCTTTGTAAATTTTTATAACAAAAATTTTTAAAAAATTTTTCATTATGGTTGTCATGAAGGTTGTCAGAATAAAAATAGAGTGGGGCCGGCCTGGGGGCGCCCTGCTCCGGTGCGCCGCTTGGGAGCGCGGCGGCGCTCCTGG